TTCAAATCCTACCTAAGTTAACTCACAGGCATTGCAGAACTTTTGTAAACCTGGTCTCAGTGATTCTGATTTTCTTGAGTTGAAAATCATTTGCCCATTCTCTTTCTTTTGAAAACAGTGATGCCCTACTAGATATTAAAACTTCCTCTAAGGCTATTGTAAACAAAATATTATAGTACTAATGTCACACTTATTTTTATCTGTTAATGTGAAAATGGTATATTCAGATATCCTGATGTCACCTAAATCTGCACTTTTTTCTACCTCCTGAGAAAGTGTTGTAATTGAATGTGAACTTTGAGAAATAAATATGAAATAATGGTGCTGGAAAAAAAATAAACAGGTACATTTATGACAAAAGATGACCTGGATTGAATTGTACAACATAAAGCATATACGATTAATTAGATTCGCATTAATATGTACACTAATAAGTCTAGCTTATATTCACTCAAATAGGTTTAAGAGCTGAGAAACGGTCTTGCTGTTGTATGTAGCTTTAATTAAATCCTGATTGGGAGACATTTACTTCCTTAGGATTAAAGACTACATTTAGATTCTACTACTTTCAGTTTGACTTCTGCTGGGCTAAATTTCATCATTGCATTTTCTGTAAAGAAAGGACTGGCCTCATTTATTTATTCAATAAGCATTCTCCTAAATAGCTGATATGTGCCAGCCCAATCACTGCCCTAAAGCATTCTGTAATCTGGTTAGGAGACAAAGAAGCCGTTTTGCAGGCCTTTCCTACACCAATCAAATGCAAGTAGATAATATGCCAACAAATTTTTATCAGTCCCTTAAAGCTGTCCACAGGGTTTTACCATTAACTATTTACAAAGTTAGTACTCGAAAGAAACATATCTCTTAAAATAAAAACTCTACTATTCAAAATTCTCTCATAGTATGACTTTTCCTATAACTTGATCCAAATAAATAAAACTAAATATTTCTATTAAGAATAATAAAATATTTCTCAATGTGGGGATTTTAAGTTAAGTAAACACACACACACACACACACACAAACAAGAAACCCAAAATGTGAATGGTCACCAGATAAGGACAAATGATTAACAGAAACAATGCAGGTCATGAAGGTTCAGACACATCAACTAATCATAGCATTTGAAATTCTCTGTTGAAAAGGTGAGGAAGACAATAATTATAACACTGTATTGAGAACTACCTGGGGAAAGCAAAGCTTTATAAAATAAAGGATTGGAAGCATCCCATTTACCTCCTTCACCAGTAAATTCTCTGCTTTGTGCTCTGCGTCTTCAGGTACCGTTGAGTACAAAGTTCGGACATCCCAGGAAACTGTGGCTGTCTGAAAGGAACAATGACAAGAAATTAGACCCTCTACCTTAAAAGCATTGTGCAGACCACTGTACCAAAAACACAAGACGGGGAGGTGTTTCAGATCTCAGCATTGAAGGGTAAGAGAAGACAGAGAAACCTCCTTGGCTCTTAGCAATTTAGTCTCCAGGAGAGGAGATCCGGACCTTCCTCAGCTCAGACCACTAGCATGACCCACTACTGTTCTACCAGTGAAGCTCATCATTTCCAGCTACTGCCTTCCCAGCAGAAAACAAAAAACTGGGAAGCTGTATGGAGTGACTAGTTTATTTCTACTGTTATCCTTTTTCATTGTTGTTAATGAATATACATTTGAAATGAAGGAGAAAATTTACAAAATCAGTGTTATTTTAATTTTATTGTAAATAATCTCTTGAGT